GGGGGGTTGGTGGTGGAGTTGTACTTTACCATTGAGATGAAATTTGTGGGTTGTGCTTAAGTATTGGTAAGTGTTTTACTTACCGGTTGAAGTTATTCATTGTTGAGGATATTGTATTCCAGTTTCTATTATATCATATCATTGTTTTTTTCAATGTTTAATTTGAGTTCAATGGTCTTTTATTTTTATTCAATAAATAGCGGTTTGTTTCTTCTATTTTAGATTCTTAGCCAGCAGTTTGTACTCCTGCATTCCTTGCAAACAAATATTTCTTACACATATTCGGTGTTTATATACTAAATCAATAAATGCAAGATATATATTTTCATTTATATATTTCTCGCTTAATCATGATTAGCCGGTATATTTTCATTTCAATTCTTAATTATTAAGGTTATATTGTTTGATTGATGTAAACATCGAGGACAAGTATTACAACATAATGGAAGGATTATTATTCTTAGATACTAGTTCATTTTATTTATAATAAGTAGATGTATATGGTTTAATTTAAAACATATGTTTGTTATAAACTGAATAAAATATTTCTTTACTATTTGAAGTGTAGTTAGTGTAGTATTATGCATGCATAACCATATAATATTAGAAGACTCCATTTAAGTTTTGTGCAATTTGTTCGAATTTGGAAGGGATGAGAAGATTAACTAATAAAGTCAAATAAACCTCAACGAATATTAACTGACTATGGAGCTCATATTTGGTTGATTTAATTAGAGCACAGCTTTATCATATTATATCAAAATATTATCGAAACTTTCATAATAAAAATGGACTTTTTCTTTACTTTCTGAAAATTAGAGTATTTAATATTTTTCTTTAGATAATAGAATCAAGATCAGAGTGCTGCAAGTTTTGAAAAGAGAGAAGCAAGTTCTGAATATAGCATGAGGTTACTTTGTCATATTAGTTCTATTATTAACCGATATTTAAATTTGATATTTTTTCTCGCATAAAGTAACAATAGATTTTCATGTAATTTATGCAAATATATTTGAAGGAAATTAGATTTGGGTCACCCATATGGGTCAACCCGGTCCATGTCTCATAAGAAAATATTTATATACATATATAATTGTTAAATAAAAAGGTTGTATCATATAAATAAAAAGGAGTTTGCGTGGGAACTCCATTGGCGAAGCCACATGGTAATAAGGGTGGTCAACTGACCACTCTTCGTCCAAAAATTGTATTGTGTATATAAGTAAAATATTACGTTTTAGAGGTATATAACACATATTGAACATCTTTTGTCGGATTTTTTTTTTTCAATTCTTTTAAATTTGAACACTCTTGGAAAAATTCCTAGCTTCGCCATTGTGGAACTCCTGTATCCGATTTTCTCCTTAATAGAAAAAGACTCTCCTTCTTCTCTCTCAAATCCTAAAGAGTTTTTGTGAGGATTTCTTCTTCAAAACGTTTGGAACAAATCTCTGTAATAAGGTAAGACTTTAGAGTGTGACTTATATGGCGTAGTTCGTATTTGATTTGTAATTACAATGTTTGACTAGTGAAACAAATACATTAATGACCCAACAAACTATGTATTTGATTTAATTCTTCAATATTTATACATAAAAATAGTAATCAAACAATGTATTAGCTAAATATATTACTGATCAAATTTTATGTTAAACTTAATACAGCCAACCATGTGAAAATATGACCCAAATGGAATAAAGTAGATACATTTTCGTGCTCCATGCCCTATGTGTAGCTGCCACAAGAGTTTTGCTATCACATAGTATGATCCCTTATCTTTGTAATTACTTGCAAATAACTTTAATAGATAGAAATAAGCGGAGAATAATTCATAATTTAAATTTTATGGATTCAATCTTTAAGTCTTTTAACATTGAACTTATTATATTTTAAATTTGTCACGACCCGGATTTCCCACCCTTGGGAGTCGTGATGGCGCCTACTAGTGAAAGCTAGGCAAGCCAATCAACTGAATTATTTGCCTTGTTTCCATTTTTAAATTCGTTAACAGTTATAAACCAACAGTTAATGATCAACAAAATTTAACAAGCGGAAGATTTAATTTCAAGTTGTAATAATGCTAACGATATCAATCCATAACAACCTACCCAAGACTGGTGTCACAACTTCACAGACTGTCTAAGATTACTACAAATAAAGGTCTGAAAGAAATAATACAACACTGTCTCTGGAAATACAAGAAGGAAACAGGAATAATAGATAGAAGGAGACGCCAAGGCCTGCGGCCGCCTGCAGGACTACCTTGGGTCGCCTGATGAACAAGAAGCAGCAATCTCACTGTGGTCCGAAATCTACAGCACTGGGATCTGCACAAAAGAGTGCGAGTGTAGTATGAGCACAACCGACCCCATGTGTTGGTAAGTGCCTAGCCTAACCTCGGCGAAGTAGTGACGAGGCTAGGACCAGACTACCAATTAACCTGTGCAGTTAAATCATATACAACGGAAAATAAAAGCAGAAATGTACAGTTACGGATGGGAGGGAAAACATGCTGCAGGGACATCGAAGAATAGCAGAAGGACAACAAGTAAATATAAGGATCACCACAACTCGATTGAAGATAGACAGGGGAAATCATGCTGTGGGGTACAACAAGTATCACCAGAAAACCAACAATTTAATGTAGAGAAACCATAACTCAGCTATCAATAAAAATCAGGAAATAAAAGACAAGTGCACGACATCACCCTTCGTGCTTTAACACTCTCTCACCAAAACAATGCACGGCATCACCCTTCGTGCTTTAACACTCTCTCACAAATATCATACACGGCATCACCCTTCGTGCTTTACACTCTTCCTCACCCAAGCAACAATCACAGAGCAATTTGGGCAAGGGAATCAATAACATCACAATAAAATCAAGTAACAACAGGAAATCAGTAAGTAAACGTAATCCACACCATAACTCACTTATTAGTATAATTAGGAAAATCAAGGACAAGTACACGGCATCACCCTTCGTGCTTTTACTCTCGTCCTCACCATGAAAATAAATATAATTGGCATGGCATCACCCTTCGTGCTTTCACCTCACATAATCACTAATATAAAGGCATGAAATTGTACATCGTGCGGCACGGCATCACCCTTCGTGCTTCAACACTCTTCCTCACCCAAGAAACAATCACAGAGCAATTTGGGCAAGGGAATCAATAACATCACAATAAAATCCCGGCAAGGGAACAATACTAAAAAAAAAATATTATCCCGGCAAGCGAACAATATTAAAAGCAACAACGTCCCGGCAAGGGAACAATACCATAATCCTCTTCTCTTTTTCACATTTACTTCACAACTCGATTCACAATTTGAGCCAATGCTCCATTAGGTTCAGTTGCCAATTATTCTTTCATAATTCGCTTCACAACTTGAGCCAACGCTCTTCACTGTTCAAATACCAATATTCTTTCCACAAACCTTGCTCAACAATAGCAATCATCATATTACACGTGAATAATACAAATGGAGTCACATTAATCATAACATAACACTCACGGGCATGCTTGACACCAACGTATAGATACTCGTCACCATGCCTATACATCGTACTCAACAAATAACACATAGCAAATAGGACACAAGTCCTAATCACTCAAGCTAAGGTTAGACCAAACACTTACCTCGATGCCTCGAACACAATTCAAGCCTCAACTATCGCTTTACCTCTTGATTCCACCACCAATTCGCTCGTATCTAGCCACAAGTTACTTAATTATATCAATAAATGCTAAATGAATCAATTCTAATGCATGGAAATAAATTTTCTAAAGTTTTTCCCAAAAAGTCAAAAATTGACCCCGAGCCCACATGGTCAAAACCCGAGGTTCGAACCAAAACCCGATTACCCATTCACCCACAAACTCAAATATACAATGTGTTTTGAAATCGGACCTCAAATCGAGGTCCAAATCCTATTTGAAAAACCTAGGTTCTACCCAAAACACCCAATTTCCCCCATGAAAACCTTTAATTTTGAGTTGAAATCATGTGAAAAGATGTTAAAGATTGAAGAAAACGAGTTAGAAACAACTTACAATCAAAACGAGTTAGAAACAACTTACAATAATTTAGAGAAGAAATTGTCTTTGAAAAATCGCCAAAGAGTGTTTTGGTTTTGAAAGAGTGTGAAAAATGGTTGAAATGCGTCTAAGTTATGAATTTACAGGTCTCTGATGTCGCAATTGCGACTAGAGTTCGCAATTGCGAACCCAGAAGTCTGGTATTCTTGCATTTGCGAAGGGACTTTCGCATTTACGAAGTCGCTTTTGCGATACATTTGTCGCATTTGCGACGATCGGCTACAACTGGTGGCATCGCAATTGCGATGGGTACCTCGCATTTGCGAGGTGACGCTGGCCAGGGCTCTTTCACATTTGCGACATAGCCTTCACATTTGCGAGCTCGCATTTGCGAGCCAGGCTTCGCAAATGCGAAGCCTGCAGGCCTGCAATATACCAGTTAAAATCTGCAACATCCTAAGTCCAAATTTCACTCCGTGGCCTATCTAAGACTCACCCGAGCGCTCGGGCTTTGAACCAAACACGCACAATAACCCAAAAATATCATAGGGACTTGCTCGTGCATTTATATTACCAAAATAACATCCACAACTATGAATTTAGCATCAAAATTATGAAATCACTTAAGAACATCAAATTTTCCAATTTTTCTCAAATAAGGTCCGATTCACGTCATTTCAAGTTCGTTTCTTACCAAATTTCACAGACTTAACTTAAACCACATATAAGACCTGTACCGGGATACGAAACCAAAATACGGGCCCGATACCATCAAATTTCAAACACATCTCATTTCTAAAAACTCATATGTTTTCCAGAAAACAATTTTCTTTAAAAAGTCATTTCTCGGGCTAGGTTCCTCGGAATTCGATTCCGGGCATACAC